GCTAGGTGCATCCACGCCGTTGATCGTGGGTTGCTGAGTCGATCCACGAAATCGAGGGCCCTCCCGGGAGCTCGATCTCGCCCACTGCATCAGCGCATCCGTTGACTCGGCTTCCCGGACGGCGTCGTTGAAGCTGCGTGGCCGGATTCGTCGGACCTCGTACTGTATCTCGTATTTCAGGCCCGCCACGTAGCGATCCAACCGCTCCGCATCGCTCATGTCGTCCACCTGGTCCGCCAAGTTGCAGAATTTGCTGGTGTAGTCCTGGACTGAAGTCAGCTGCTTCCAGGTACGCAGCTGCATGCGAGCAGAGTCCGAGGCGGATATGTGCTCGAATCTAGTTCGCAAGGCGGCGCCCCACTCCTTCCATGTGCGTATCGTGGCCGTCCCAAAAATCGATGCTGCCTGATGCATGACAGGTCTTGAAGTCCCGTCGTTCGCACGTGCTATTCCTGCCGAAGTCCCTTCGTGCTGCAGCGTTCGCCTCCACCACTCCAACACAGGTCCTCGCAATAGTGAAACTGCGAAATTAATGCGGGTTGTATCATCATAAATCATGGCAGCATTGAAAAACACCTCCACGCCGAACAACCATGCAGAAACAGTGACGAACTTGTCACTCGGGTTAAACGGGGGCGGGTTTGTCGGCTTGATTTTAACAAAAGCCGTTGCTGCCATCGGGGCCGTTGGCATTGCTGCTGGCGTCGCCGTCGTCGTCGCCGCTGCACGTGTTGGTGCTGCACGCGACTGTTGTGGTGACTGTTGCTGCTGCGCCTGCCTCGCCTCGTCCGCATCCATCTCGCCTTCCAGCTCGCTCCAGACCCGCTCATCTGGTGCAGTGCTGCTACTTGCGTCGTCCACGACAGGCGACTCCTGGCGCGCTTCACCACGCGCCTGGTGTAGTTCGGCGTTTTCCTTCTGGAGACGCTCCATTTCTGCAAACATGGTCTGCATGGTGGCCTGCATCGTCCGGAACTGTTGCAGGAACTCGTTGAACTCCGCCTGTTCCATGTGTCGCAGGCTTCGTCTAACGGGCAGGGGGTGGCTCGCGATTTTTCTGACTTCGGTGAAGGCGTTAATGCTATCGTAGTCGGAGTGGAATAATCAGATCTATTCCACGGGCCGACCGCTTAACAGCCCACCAAGTCTATCGCTCCCCTTCTACAAACTACCCCGGAAACGTGAGGGTAACCTAGGAAAGTAGGCTCTGATACCAAGTGTTATGAGTTGTGAAAGGAAAGAGTGCGCAGAACTCAATAATGCGGAAGTGATTACAACGTCTCAGAACATAACGAGGCCTAGGACTAATATAGCGAAGCTAGCTAGGCCGAGGTCGCGGGGTCGCGAGATGGTTGGGTGCAGGTTCGGGGTTGGAAAACCCGAAGGCGACGCGGTAGTGGTTCGGAGGGCGAGGTCGGCGGACCGAGCCTGGTTTTCCGAAAGTCGGGGTTGTACGCGTACAGTGTGACCCAGTAAGGAATCCGAGAAATTCCTTACATACTGTGTGGTATGTTACTGGATGGTGTCTTACTATGTGCCATGTTTCTGTGTGTCAGGTTTCAGTGGTGGTCATGGTGTGCGTCGTGGTTGTTTTGTTCGTATCACTGTTGATGGTGGTGGTGGTGGCTTTAGTATGGCTTACCCTACTGTGGCCTTGGCATGTCTTAGTGTGGTCTGTTATAGTGTGGTACATCATAATGTGGCGTGTGATAGTGTGGCATGTGAGAGTGTGGCATGTGAGAGTGTGCTGTATGATAGTGTGGTGTGTGACAGTGTGGTGTGTGATTGTATGATGGATGATTGTACAGTTGGTATAGTGTGGTGTGGTATTGTGTGATTGTGTGTTGTGGCATATTATTGGCGTGCCCCATTCTGGGTTGTAAGAGTATGGCACCATATATATAGCATGTTGCTACTGCGGATCTCATATTGTGCGATGCAATATTGTGGTCTGTCAGAGCGCGTGGAATGATGTGCATTCTCATGCATGGGTGAGCTGCAGTGCTGTCTGTTATGATTCTCATGCTGTGGTATGTTGCAGTATGCATGTCATTGTCTGGCTGTGTCATTGTCTGGCTGTGTCATTGACTGGCTATGTTATTGTCTGACAAGTCGTTGTGGTAGGGGGGGTTCGTGTGGGGGTGGGGATGGGGGTGGGATTGGGGAAAAGGGTTGGGAATCTGGAGGCGATGAGATGCCGTGTCATGCTGTGGCGTGGCCGTCGGGGTGTTTGAGCGCAAAGCCCTGCCATTTGACTGATAGATGGTGGCTTATTCGGGTGATCTGATCACGCCTTGTGCAGCCTAGTCATACAAGTTCGCATGGTTGGTTGGATGCCTGGATGCATGATACAAATGGGACGAACATTGCAGTGATGATACGTGCATGGCACACGTGCATGTACTGTATGAGTGCCTGAAGTCCGGAACCAGGAATACTGTATGTGATTTGTGGATTTGCCCATATGCTGCATATGAACACGATTGTATCATGTATTTGTTTTTATCATCCATTGTACGGTCAAAAGGTTTCTTGTTTTACCAACTGTTTGTAGCTTTGCTTCTGTTATCGCCAAACCTGCAAGTTCTTGTGCATATATTTGATCACGTGATGTGATCAAGATGTTGATGAGGAAAAGATGTAGTAGCTGCCCTTGATAGAGGATGTAAGTCATCTACAGTTGAACCAAGACGCTGCATAAAGAAGTTGCTCATAATGACTCATCGCCCTAGGGATCACCGAACCAAAGTCGGTGATAAGTGCGCTCCAACAGTTTCTGCGACTGTTGACCCGTATTCGACGTGCTTATGTCACGCTCCCGAACGGTCGAATAACGGGCAGAATAAAACCTCTGCAATCTTATCGGCTAAGTAGAGCTGTCCTCACCTTCCTCTGCAATCTTAGCAGGGTGATACTCTCTTGGTTCGGGAGTCGGGATACAAATGATGCTCGTTTGGGGCACCCAACTTTGCCTTGTGCTCTGGGCTTATAAGTGGTTTTTGCATTTCGCTAAGGTTTCGTCAGTTCGCACCTAACAAAATGGGCTTATAAAAAGCAGGTGTAACTCATCGTTGACTTTTTGACTTGAGTCTTCTCAGTCAAACCTCGGTTTCTGTTGTTAGTATTGGCTGGTTTAGGTGGCAACTTGTTTGAGGTGCTTGTAAATGGGGTGCAGATTCACGGCACAAAACCAACCGGGTGCAAGGTTTCCATCGGGTCCAAGGCAAATTCGCGTGCAGGAGGTGAGCATCATCTGTAGTGGAGCTTTTCCGCAAGGAAGAACTTTTTTCCGACGGATCAAACCAGACCAGACAAGCCAAACCAGGCCAACGGCGGAGCACAAGCACCAACCAGGGGGAGTTGCTAGTGCGGGAAATGGCTTCTCCGTGGCTGGAATGGAACATTCTTGCCATGGCAGGCACCATGGCTGCCTGCCTGCACCTTTCCCTGCCTCCCCCTCTCCACTCCACCCTTTTCTTCATTACAACCTCCTCACCGACCCCACCCACCAACCATCTCCCTGGAAGGGATTATTCCTCCTGACCTAACTTCACTCTGCCTCCCCCTCTACCAACAAATTTTTACACTCACTTGCTTTCGGCTGTTTGATGCCAGACGGGACGGTGTTGTCAGTTCACGGCTCTCGTAGTCTCCATGCACGGAACGATCTTGCTGATGTTCCAGCGAAAACGGTTTACAGTACAAGGCTTGGACTTGGACCATTCTCCTAGCACTTGAGTATTTGTTCTTTAGCATCGTCGACAGTGCGACTCATGCGCTACGGAGACGAACAAGATGTCCAGCGATTTATTCACCTTTTGCAGAACCAACAGCTCGTCCTATCGACAGAAACTTTAGTGTCTGCCCTGCACCTTAGAAAGGGAAAACGCGACGCGTTGTAATAGCGGCGCCTAGTCCAGCCGTTTTAGGAGCTTATTTCTCTGGTTGACGTTTTCAAATCAGCTAGACACGTAGCAATCGCGCGCGTCAACAGGCGTTGCATTCTCCCCTCTTCGACGGCGATCGATCGTCCACCATTTTTCCATGTCGATAGTCGCAGCATGCTCATTACCCTGCTACTTGTGCTGCTGTTACTCCCATCGAATAAACATCGTGCGGCATTGGCGACAACGGAAATGCCATTCAACTCCAAGTTCGGTAAGACCGGGGGAACTACCTATAATAGAGACCATGGACGTGCTGTGTGGACCATGGGGATCCTTTCTGAATGAGCTCAGAGAGCAACTGGCAGTCACACCGCTCCGTCAGCTGATTACGGTTATATTGTTGAAAAAGCTGCTCGAATGGAAGCTTCAGTCGTTTTGGCGACTCTCCTGTCTCGCCCACCATCGCAACGCGCGTGCTCTTTCGTTCTCCCGCTGTGCACCATGCTCTGTCACCCTCCCGCTACACGCTTTGCCAGTTCCGTCATCCACCCGTCTTTCTCTCCCCAATCGCCTTCCCTCTTCATCCCTGCCTTCCCCGCACCCAACCCTATACTTATCCAATTCGCGCGTCCACTCGCGACCTGCCTCCTCTCAGCACGTGCACATCGTTCTCGCTGCCTCGTCCTCCGTTTGCCTTAGAGGCCTCGCGAGCCGTTAGATTGTTAGTTTCGGAGGAAAGCACCGAGTGGGCTGAAGCGATCACTGTTAGCCGGGTTTGTCAGAGGGGACCTGTGAAAAGGAGCCTGCAGACCGGCAGGACCGGGTTGAAGCGATCGCTTGTAGGAGCTCGAAAGCAGGCATGCAGGTAGCCAGCAGGTCGTTTTCTCGCCGTTTTCCTCCTGTAGATTGTTACGCTCATCGCCCAGTCTTGATGCTTTCGAGTTGAGTGTCGCGTTGCGGGTCCCGTGGCACGAAGTGCTACGGACGTACGGAAAAGTTTAGGCGCCTAATCAATGCCACACACGTACGAGACCAGCACGACCTGACGACCTGACGATCTTCTATCCACGCTGCTGTGTTTCGTCGCTCGCAGTGCAACCCATGTAAGAGATTATGACGGCATTCAATCTCGACCCGGAGCAGAACTGGAGTGAAGGCGCGCCGTGCTCCGACGACGGCACGGGCAGCGGCTTTAAGGGCGTGATCTGCGACTCCAACGGCAACCCTCGTGCCATGTAAGCAACGCCGACGCGCACTCGCCCGTCCGCCACGTGGACGTCTCTCACTGCCACGTCAATAGCCACGCTTGCCACGTCCGTCATGATCTTTGCCACGTCAGGCGCAACTGCTCGTCGCGTCGATGCCATCATTGCGTTTAGGTGAGCGACTTGTTTTCTCACGCCACGCCACCCCCTCCCGTTGCGCCCCACATCCCGCCATTCCCGGTCCCCCCCGCATCCCGCCATTCATGCCGTCGCGTGTGTGTCTCTGTCGCTGCCGCCTGCGCGTCACAATTCCGCCGACCCTCCGCGGAACCTCCGCGTTGGGGTGTTGCGCTCGAATCTCCCCCGCAGGATCTTCCCTATCCGATACTTCGAGTACTGCTCTTGCTCTCTCTTCCCCTTGCATCGTCCTTGTGTTCCCTGGCACTCTCATTGCTTCTCTTTCCGCTCCCCTTCCGCCCCTTCCTCGGCCTCCCGCTCGTTTTCTACATCTTCTCTTTCTCATTTCTCTTCCTATTCCCCCTTCCCCCTCCCTCCCTCTTCCCGCCACTTCTTTCCCTTTTCCTCCTAGCTCTATTCCTTCTCCTGTCATCCTTCACGCCCCTATGCTCCGTGTCTCTCGTTCCTGCCCAAACTTGATCTCTCTCTCCCTCTTGCCCGCACCCCACCTTGTCTTCGCGTCCTGCAGTCTCTATTGTGATAGTCCCGCCTGTGTGCCACCCCCCCACCCCATGCGCCATTCCCGCCCAATGTGCCACCCCCCCACCCCATCCGCCATCCCCGCCCATTGTGCCATTCCCCCACCCCATAAGCCATCCTCCCCCCCCTCTGCGCCATCCCGCGCCCCATGCGCCCCTCCCCACGCCATGCGTCCGCCCCCAACCCATGCGTCCTCCCCCACCCCGGGCTCCACCCCCCACCCCATGCGCCATCCCCACACCGCCCGCTGCGCCATCCCCCACCCCGTGCGCCATGTGCGCCATCCCGCACCCCGTGCGCCATCCCCCACCCCGTGCTCCCTCTATGCGCCTTTCCCACCCCATGCGCCTTCCTCCGCCCCATGCTCCCTCCCCCACCCCATGCGCCATCGTCCCTCTAGCACGCATTCCCCATGTCCCGTCCCTTCACCTATCGGCCCCTCCTCTCTTGTCCTCATCCTCCTCCCCCCCTCTCCCCTCATCCCCATCGCCCTCCCCTTCCCCTCATCCCCATCGCCCCCCGGCCTCCCCCCATCCCCATCGCCCCCTACCAGGATACCCACGCTCGGCAACTCCCTGGTGGGCCTCAGATCCCTCCCCACCGCCTTTGACTTTTGAGTCGACTCAAAAGTCTTCCCCCCATCCCCATCGCCCTCCGCCTCCCCCCATCCCCATCGCCCCCTATCAGGATACCCACGCTCGGCAACTCCCTCGTGGGCCTCAGATCCCTCCCCACCGCCTTCGCCCGCCTCACCACACTCACCAGATTGTACGCCTCATATTCCTGCTCTGCTTTACAGTCCTCATGTCACATAATCCTCGTGTCAAACTGTTCTAGTGTCAAACGGTCCTCGTTCCTACCGGAACCCCCAGGTGTGAACGTGCCTCTCCTCCTCCTCCATCTCTTGCTGCTGTCAACCGTGCTTCTATGTCATCCTACCCACTGGCACCTTATTCTCCCCTCGTCCTATATTGGTTCCCACTCTCCTGCTTGCTTCTCAGCCTCTTACCAGATTGCCACCTTTCTCCGCCCGCGCCCCCCTCCTTCCCATTACTCTTCAACCTCCCTCCCCTCTCCCGTTTCCCCCTCCTCCCCCTCTTCCCTTTCCTCCCAACCCCCCTCCCCCTTGAACTCTCCTCCCACTCTCCTCCCCCCTTTCCCCGCCCCCTCCTCCTTCCCCCCTTCCCTCTTCCCCCTCCTCGCCTCCCTTCCCCCTCCATGATCCATCCTGGTGTGATGGCACGGTGCTGCACCCACCAGGGTGCTCATCATGGGCCTTATTAACACCAGACTAGACGACTTCGCCAGACCCCTCTCCTCACTTATCTAATTGCCGCCTTCCTTCGCCTTCCCCCTCTCCTTCCCCCTCCTCCTTCCCCCTCCTCCTTCCCCCTCCTCCTTCCCCCTCCTCCTTCCCCCCTTCCTTCCCCTTTCCCCCCTCCATCGTGTTGGTGGCACATGGTGCTGCGCTGCACCACCAGAGTGCTCATCATGGGACTCATTAACACCAGACTAGACGACTTCGCCAGACCCCTCTCCTGTTTGCCTAACCTAAGACATTTGTGAGTCACGCCTCCCCTGCCTTGCTTAACGTGACTTTTTCTCAGATTCGCCTTTTTCTGTCAGATTCGCCCTTCCCTGTCATCTGTTTGTTGTGTGGTCATTTTCTTCTGACCCATCGCATTGCCTTGTTGACCTCATGCGCCACCATCCATCATCATCATGTCTTACCACCATCATCATGTCTTAATACCATGCTCATCATGCTTTACTACCATCATCATGGCTTTCCACCGTCACCCCTCCTCTGTCTGCAGAGTGTTGGATGGGAACTCCTTCTATGGGCCCGTCCCACCTTACCTCATTAACTCACCCTCTCTAACTGACCTGTAAGTGCCCTTCCTCCGTCTGCCTTGCTTCCTGCCCCACCTCTTCTCCCCGTCTCCCCCCTTGTCTCACTTCAACCACCTGCGCCACCTCTCTCTTTTCCCGAGCCAATCCCCATCCGTCTGCCTGCATTCCAAGCATGCTGAGGCCCTCTGTGTATCAGAGACTGGAGAACCGCTTTTCCTGCCTTATCACCCACCAAACCCTCCGCTGCTTCTTGCTTCCCTCTCCTCCCCCTTTACCATGCTGGTCCCACACCTCCCTCCCCTCTTCAATCCCTTCCCCTTTCCTCACTGCATCCTTATCCTCTTCTACCCAGCCCAACCCCCCTCCACCCTCCCTCTCCCCTTCCTTGCCTCCTCCCCCTCCCTCCCTCTCCCCTTCCTTTCCTTCCGCTCCTTTCCCACCCCCCCAGGTCGTTACAAGGCAACAAGCTAACGGGCACAATAAAGGCCGTGGGTTCCAAGCTCACAGCGCTCTTCCTCTCAGTCAACCTCCTCACTGCCTCACTCTTGCCCGCCTCCCGCCTGCAACACCAGGCTTTTGAGTTGACTAAAAGAAACCCAATCCTCCCCTTCCCCTCTCCGCCCTCCACTTCCCTCCAACAACCCCCTTCCCCCTCCAGCTCATTACAGGGCAACAAGCTAACAGGCACAATAAGGAAAATCGGACCCAAGCTCACAGCGCTCTTCCTCTCAGTCAACTTCCTCACCGGCCCCCTCCCACCCGCCGCCCGCCGCCTGCGCGTTTGCAACGCCGCCATGAACTGCCTCTCGCGCACCTCCGGCTGTAACGGGGTAACCGGGTTTCCACGCCGCCAGCGCACCATCGGATGCCGGCGGAACCCCTGTGCCAAGCGGAAGTTGCTCAACTCGTTTCAGTGCAAGTGGGCCAAGTCGTGTATTCCTCAGTATGGAGATTGGCCGCCGTGGGAGGTTGATGCGCTGTCGAACCCGCCTGATAAGGGTTGGAAGTGCAACTCTTGCCCCACCGGAACTTACGCGACGAGAAGAAGATGCGGTGAGTGTGTGAGCACTGGCATGAGCTGTTAAAAGCTGCTTGGTCTCTCAATCCCGTAATCTCTCCTCGCTCCGTCCCCCACCGTCTCCTCTCCTCTCCCCCTCTCCTCCCGTCTCCCGCTCTCCTCCCCTCTCCCACTCTCCTTCTCTCTTCTCCCACTCCTCTCCTCTCCCCTTCTTTGCCCCTCGCCGGCCTTCACTTGCTATAATTTCTGGCTGTAATCTGCAGTTCGTACCTTTCCATGTTTTCTTTCTCATTCTCTTGCTGATGTCTTCTCTACATGTGGATACTCTGTTTCTGTGGGTCTGTGTTTGTGGCCTTATTGGGTTGCAGTTCCATGCTCCAAACCATTTATAAAACCATTCTGTAAAAAACGACATAGGTTTAAATGCCCAAAGTAGGCTGTAGCTTGGCCTGATGGAGTAGACGTAGCTTGTTAGGCGTTTTGGCCTTTCACGAAATAGGGCAGTGTTTTCCACATGGTATATCAAGGCTCATTGAAGATTTCAGAGTGTACAGAGTACGGGTATCTTGTATAGAAGCATCCTTTCACGCCGCACCACACGTTCTTTCATATATGGCACCCAAGCGGGCTTGCGGTTGCAGGCTTGTGGCTTTGTGGCCCTTCATAACACTGGAGGTGAAAATCCAGACTCCTAGCAGTAAATTTGGAAGATCAGGTCAGGTAATCTATAAGATGTTTGTGTGCATCTGTACGTTGTACGTGGTATATGAGGCGTTTTTTATCGCATTTTTTTAAATTGCCCACCCCCCAACTCTCGTGGCTTCAGATCACAGATTCATAGGCGCCTCTTATTCGCCATCCTCCCTGAACCCGACGCACTTCTTGTCACGTTGACGCCTGCCGCATTACTGACTAGCACTGTCGCACAGTCGCACCGCTGCCACCGTGCGACGGATCCAATGTCGCAGCTCACCTCAGCAGCAGCGCTAGTCGCCCGCCCGCTTCCTCCTCCCCCCACCGTTCTTCTCCCTCCCGCATTCGCGCAACGCCCAGCCGCCCTTCTCCCACGGCGGAAGCATGCATCGCCCAATCACGCGCCTCTTAAACTGCGCGCACCGCTCGTGCTAAGAGCTTCCGCAACCTCCTCGCAGCGCGAGCCGCCAGAGGGCAGCGACTCGCGGCCGCCGCCGCCGCCGCCGCCGCCAATGAAAGTGATGAGCCGATCCGCGAAGAACGTCCGGCGCATGATGTCCGCCGCGTCCCCGCCCGCCCTCGGGCAGTTCCGCCCGCCCCCGCTGCCCAGTGAGCTCCGCCTCCGCCCTTCCCTTCCGCCCTCCCCCCTTTCACCCAACCCTTCCCCTCTTAATTCATCCCCGGTCCGCCCGCGTAACCGCCTCTCCGCTCATTCCCACTCCCCGCCCGCCCCTGAGGATCAGGCGCTCCAAAGGCGTCTGTTGCGCCTCACCCGTCCCCCCGCGGTCGCTCCATTCCGCTCCGCCTTTTCCCCCCCTTTCCCGCAGTCCCAGGCGCGCCGATGTTCCCCATGGGGGCACCTGGGGGAGAAGATTCGGGGGAAGCGGAGGAGGGGAGGCGGAAGGAGAGGGAGCGGAGGGAGGAGCTGATCGCGGCAGTGAGAGAGGGGCGTGGCTCCTGGCAGGAGGTCGCTGCTGCTATCAGGTGAAATCGCTGCTGCTATCAGGTGAAATCGCTGCTGCTATCAGGTGAAATCGCTGCTGCTATTCTGTGAAATCGCTGATGCCTTCAGGTGAAATTGCTGATGCCTTCAGGTGATATTGCTGATGCCTTCCGGTGAAATTGCTGATGCTTTCAGGTGAAATTGCTGATGCTTCCCCGAGCTTCTTGTAACCCTTTGTTCCCCTAGCCAACAGCTCATTACTCTTAGAAACCTGGATCTGCATCCTTCTCCCTCCCCTACTCCCTTTACCCATCCCTCCACCCTCTACCACGGCACGGCCCCATGCCCCCCTGACACCGCCCTGGCATTGCGTGGAGGCAGGCAGCTGCAGCAGGCGGGCATGACAGCGGAGGAGGTGGCAGATGTGGCACTGCTGGCACATGCTTTGAGGCAACTCAAGGATAGGCCCTGATTTCCTTTCATCCCTTTCGTTCCCTCGCTTTCCCTCTTCTCACCCTCCCCGCAGGCAGCTGCAGCAGGCGGGCATGACAGCGGAGGAGGTGGCAGATGTGGCACTGCTGGCGCATGCTTGATGCGCCTCAACAAGAGGCCCTGCTTTCCAATCATCCCTCCAGTTACCTTGCTTTCACTTCCTCCCCCTCCCTCCCCACAGGCAGCTACAGCAGGCGGGCATGACGGCAGAGGAGGTGGCGGATGTGGCAATGCTGGCGCATGGCCGAGTGACCGTGCTTGTCGTCGCTGCTCAGGTGCTCTGCTCTCCCTCCCTTCCCCGTGTGCCATGACCCATGCCCCTTAACTATGCTATTCCCTTCCCTATGCTATTCCCCCTTCCCTATGCTATGTCCCCTTCCCTGTGCTATGTCCCCATGTGCCATAGCCCATGTACCATAGCCCATGTACCATAGCCCATGTACCATAGCCCATGTACCATAGCCCATGTACCATAGCCCATGTACCATAGCCCATGTGCCATAGCCATGTGCCATAGCCCATGTGCCATAGCCCATGTGCCATAGCCCATGTGCCATAGCCCATGTGCCATAGCCCATGTGCCATAGCCCATGTGCCATAGCCCATGTGCCATAGCCCATGTGCCATAGCCCATGTCCATGTGCCATAGCCCATGTCCATGTGCCATAGCCCATAGCCCATGTGCCATAGCCCATGTGCCATAGCCCATGTGCCATAGCCCATGTGCCATAGCCCATGTGCCATAGCCCATGTGCCATAGCCCATGTGCCATAGCCCATGTCCATGTGCCATAGCCCATGTCCATGTGCCATAGCCCATAGCCCATGTGCCATAGCCCATGTGCCATAGCCCATGTGCCATAGCCCATGTGCCATAGCCCATGTGCCATAGCCCATGTGCCATAGCCCATGTGCCATAGCCCATGTGCCATAGCCCATGTGCCATAGCCCATGTGCCATAGCCCATGTGCCATAGCCCATGTGCCATAGCCCATGTACCATAGCCCATGTACATGCCCCGTTCCCCATGCCCACCCCCTCATTCCACTCCTCCCTGTGCTGCTGCTGCTGCTATGGCAGGTGTATGAGTCGCTGCTGCCAGGCGCACAGGAGGTTGAGGGAGAGGGGCCCGACAGCAGCTTTGACGTGGCGGTAGCGTTTCACGCAGAGCAGAGCGCGGAGCTGCTCTATGAGCTGCGCACGCTGCCCACGGCCGGCCGACGGGTAGGTGCTGCTGGGTTGGGAGTGGTGGGCATAGCGAAGCTGGTGGGGATGGTGGGTCTGTGTTGGGGGGAGGTGGGGTGTGCTGTGGTTGGTGCGGCCTGATGGCGTTCCAATCAGAGCAGAGTGCGGAGCTGCTGTATGAGATGCGCACCCTGCCCACAGCTGGCCGACGGGTGCGTGCTGCTGGGGTGGTGGGGGGGGCGGTGAGGGTGGTGGTGGGGGTGGTGGGATTTGTACAGGTGGTGGGGCCTAAATCTCCATGTTGCTTCGTGGCTCATTCTCTCCCTCCCAGCACTCTTCCCACCACTCTCCCCCCTTCCGGTTGCAGCAAGCAGCAGCCTATGTGGCCCAGCAAGGGCTGGATGCAGGGGGTGTGAGAGAGCTGGTGCGCGCCATGAGGGACCATGCCAGGCGATCCAACTCCAGAGAGGTGAGGGGAGAGAGAGGAGAGAGGTGAGAGGTGAGGGGAGAGAGAGGAGAGAGGTGAGAGGTGAGGGGAGTGAGGGGAAGGAGAGAGGGGAGGGGAGAGAGGGGAGTGAGGGGAAGGAGAGAGGGGAGGGGAGAGGGGGGAGTGCAGAGACGTGAGGGCAGATAGGTGAGGGCAGATAGGTGAGGGCAGATAGGTGAGGGCAGATAGGTGAGGGCAGATAGGTGAGGGTGGAAATGTGAGTTGTGTTCTACTTGAGGGACACTGGTTGGTTGTCTTGTATGTCAACAGCGGCTTTGGTGAATAGTTGTCATGTGGTTTCGTGGTGTAGTTGGTTATCACGTCAGTCTAACACACTGAAGGTCTCCGGTTCAAGTCCGGGCGAAGCCACTTTTGAATCAGCCCAGTGTTCTCTTTTCTGATCATCCACCTTTCATTGTACTGGCTCAGTCTTTGCTTCCCACCCTATCCTTCTCACATCAACGCCTTCTTTTCCATGCGTCACTTCCACCACTCAGCCTTCTCTTCCTCCTCTCATCTGCCGCACGGATTCTCATCAGCACCTAGAGACTGTCTGGCATTTGCGAGCTTCCACTTTACCTGTGTTCCCCACACTCACTCCTCACTCACCTCTCACGCACACTCACCCTGTCTCCCCTCCTCCCTTCCACTGCAGGGCTTCTCCTCAGCACCTGGAGACTGCCTGGCGTTCATGTGCCAACGCCTTGTCCCCTTCATATACTCACGTCGCACTCACCCCTCGCACCCATTCCTTCTTTCTCCCACTCCTGCTGCAGGGCTTCTCCTCAGCGCCTAGGGACTGCCTGGCGTTCATGTGCTACCGAGCAGCAGGGGAGAGCAGCGGGGAGGAGCGGCGGGAGTGGGTGGAGAGAGGCTTGGCAGCTGCCGTGAGTGAGAGTGCACGGGCAAGACTGCGAGAGCTGCAGTAGCAGCAAGGCTTGGCGTTGATGTGAGGTTGGGGCGGTAGCGGGCACATTCGCGCGCTTCCGAGCATCAGGGGAGAGCAGTGTGGGTGGAGGGCAGTGTGGGTGGAGAGGAGTATGGCAACTGCAGACAGTGAGAGCACACGGGCAAGATTAAATCAGCCGGAGTAGCAGCAACACTTGGCGGGGAAAGGGAAATGAAGAGTGCGAGCCAGCCCAGTAGCCGCCGCTCCCACCTGTTGGTTCCACACCGGTACCTTATTCCACGCTTGGTAACTCCACCAAGTAGATACACTGTGTCCCTCGTACCCAGGGTCTTCCTCTCGGAGTATCTCTGCCTGACCGCTGTATCATACCGTAACCGACAAATCAGACCTTAGAAGAACAACAACTATGCATTATGCATACTGCTGGGTGAATAATCTACTGACTTTTTCACATTAGTTTATGCGCCTGGAACAGCCTTATATCGGTAGCAAGCACACATGGTAGGGAGGCATACAGCATTGACTGTTACTAACAAGGTAACAAGCTCTTCGCATGCCACGTCACAGATGCTTTGTTGCCATGTCCCTCAGGGCTTGAAAGTGGGTGCTTGCCTCTCGCCCCCCCACGTGGCTTCATACAACAGTCTCGCCCCAAGGTCGGCATATGGGTCCTCCTCTCTCTTCCTCAGCAGGTACTCTATCCCTGCTTCCACTTCCCGCTTCACATGTGCGTACAGCGCTGCTGCTGCCTGCTGGTCTGTCAACACCTCCCGCATGCCTGAAGGGTGGGAGGGGAGAGGGGTAAGGGAAGGCAGTGTGAGAGTGCAAGGACCCTGCTCTATTCCCCTTGCCACCTCGCCCTTCACATGCGCGTACAGCGCTGCTGTTGCCTGCTGGTCTGTCAACACCTCCCGCATGCCTGGGCAGGATGGGGTGGATGAGAGGGGAGAGGAGAGGAGGGATGGATGGGAGACAGAGAAGGTAAGGGGGAGATAGAGAAGGTAAGGGGGAGATAGAGGAAGGGGAAGGAGGGGGGAGAAGAAACACTGCTTTCCTGCAAGGCCCTCACACACAGACTAGGGGACTGTCAGTGCTGCTGCTGCTGCCGCCAATGGCTAATCTTCCACAGCAGCACGGCGTACTCGGCAGCACGGCGTACTCGGCAGCACCGCGTACTCGGCAGCACCGCCCGCACCACAAGGAGCGTTGAGGTGTGTTGGAGCAAGAGAGCAAGACAATGGTGGTGACAGGAGGGGCGTACCGGCAGTGCGGATGGGGGCGCCGAATTTGATGTAGAGGCGGTTGATCTTGCTGGCCAGCACTGTTTGTGCCAGAGCATAAGGAGTGGTTGCGGTGTGTCCGAGCAAGAGAGCGAGAGGATGGCACTGGAAAGGAGAGGCGTACCGGCAGTGCGGATGGGGGCTCCGAACTTGATGTAGAGGCGGTTGATCTTGCTGGGCAGCACCACTGGCGCCAGGAAGCGCTCTGCTGCTGGCCCCGCTATCTCGTCCTCTCTGAGTGGGTTGAGAGGAGAGGGGTGATGGAGGAAGAGGTGGGAGGGGAGATGGGAGGAGAGCAAAACGAGAGGTGGCTCAGATGTGTAGGGGCATGAGAGTCACGGGACAGCTGCTTGCACAGAAACGATCAGGCTTCAGACTCTCCGAAGCGAGTCCCAACTGAAGCGAGCACTGCGCAATCACTCACCTGAATTCAGGCAAGTAGTCGCCTGAACATTCTGACATTAACTATTGAAGCACACAGCACATTCCTTCACGCACGCACCTGACTTTGGGCACATAGTCCATGAACTCCTTCATCTTCTCCCCGTACACCAGTTAGGTGAGCTTGTTGTGAGATGCACTCCATGAGCTCTTGAAGCACACAGCCCCCCCCCACACACACACACGCACGCGCGCACGCACCTGACTTTAGGCACATAGTCCATGAACTGCTTGATCTGTTCCCCGTACACCGGCACGTTGGGTAGCTCGTCCGCATCTAACACAAACTGATGGGGGCGGTGGGGGTGATGATGGGGGCGATGGATGGGTAGCAGAGGGAAGATGGAAGAGAGGGAAGACAGGGGAGTCTGTGAGCAATCGTTCATGCACGGTTGGGTTGCTCGTCTGCATCCAACACAAACTGATGGGGGCGGTGGGGAAGGTGCGGATGGTGGGATGGGGAAGATGGAAGAAACACAGAGGGAAGACAGGGGGAACCCTGAACCCCTTCATCTTCTCCCCGTACACGGGCACGTTGGGTAGCTCGTCCGCATCCAGCACAAACTGATGGGCATGGGGGAGATGATGGGGGGAGATGGGCGGGCGGCGGCGGAGGAAAGGTGGAGAGAAAGGGAGAAGGAGGATGGAAGAGGGGGTGAAGGGGGTGATGGGGGTGATGGGGGTGATGGGGTGATGGGGGTGATGGGGGTGATGGGGGTGATGGGGTGATGGGGTGATGGGGGTGATGGGGGTGAAGGGGGTGATGGGGGTGAAGGGGGTGATGGGGGTGATGGGGGTGATGGGGGTGAAGGGGGTGATGGGGGTGAAGGGGGTGATGGGGGTGATGGGGGTGAAGGGGGTGATGGGGGTGATGGGGGTGATGGGGGTGATGGGGGTGATGGGGGTGATGGGGGTGATGGGGGTGAAGGGGGTGATGGGGGTGAAGGGGGTGATGGGGGTGATGGGGGTGATGGGGGTGATGGGGGTGATGGGGGTGATGGGGGTGATGGGGGTGATGGGGGTGATGGGGGTGATGGGGGTGATGGGGGTGATGGGGGTGATGGGGGTGAAGGGGGTGATGGGGGTGATGGGGGTGATGGGGGTGATGGGGGTGATGGGGGTGATGGGGGTGATGGGGGTGATGGGGGTGATGGGGGTGATGGGGGTGATGGGGGTGATGGGGGTGATGGGGGTGATGGGGGTGATGGGGGTGATGGGGGTGATGGGGGTGATGGGGGTGATGGGGGTGATGGGGGTGATGGGGGTGATGGGGGTGATGGGGGTGATGGGGGGGTGATAGACGGAGACAATGGATGATGTAACAGCAGGGCACAGCATAATCGATACTTGCATGAAAAACATCTCATAAATGCTGCATTTGACCCATATGCTGCATGCACCCATATGCTGCATGCACCCCCATCCTGCATGCACCCCCATCGTGCATGCACCCCCATCGTGCATGCACCCCCATCGTGCATGCACCCCCATCGTGCATGCACCCCCATCCTGCATGCACCCCCATCGTGCATGCACCCCCATCCTGCATGCACCCCCATCGTGCATGCACCCCCATCCTGCATGCACCCCCATCGTGCATGCACCCCCATCGTGCATGCACCCCCATCGTGCATGCACCCCCATCGTGCATGCACCCCCATCGTGCATGCACCCCCATCGTGCATGCACCCCCATCCTGCATGCACCCCCATCCTGCATGCACCCCCATCGTGCATGCACCCCCATCGTGCATGCACCCCCATCGTGCATGCACCCCCATCGTGCATGCACCCCCATCGTGCATGCACCCCCATCGTGCATGCAAGCACACTCGTTGTGTAAACCTGTCACTCACATTGTATGCATCGTCAACTCCCACCGATGCAAAGGGAATGATCACTGCTCCAAACTTGACCTGCATGACGCACATGGCACACGCAGCATGAGGCATGGCAACAAGTGGAGATGCAGAGCAGGTAAGTCGATGAGAGAAGGGACCCGAGTACCTCCACTCATTTTCAGAAGCTCGCACAACTTTGAGACTTCTCAAGAGTGACACATGTGTCTGCCAGACAAGTGTGTGCTTGACCATCGCACACAACTCCATAGCAACACACGAGCATGGATTACCATTAGCAGCATGGATTACCATTAGCAGCATGGATTACCATTAGCAGCATGGATTACCATTAGCAGCATGGATTACCATTAGCAGCATGGATTACCATTAGCAGCATGGATTACCATTAGCAGCATGGATTACCATTAGCAGCATGGATTACCATTAGCAGCATGGATTACTATTAGCAGCATGGATTACCATTAGCAGCATGGATTACCATTAGCAGCATGGTGACTCACCGCCATGCGGACGAACTCAGCGCGGTGCGGCCAGAAGAGCTTGTACTCCTCGCCCTGGGGTGTGGAGTGGTGGAGAGTGGCGTGGTGTGGAACGGGATGGCAAAGCATGGCACATTATGGCACTGGAAGAAAACCCTTGGGATTCGGCAGAGAAACACGCATGCCTTGCAATTGCAGCACGGGAAGCGAAAGGTGAGAATTATCCCCCAGCGCCACTCCCTCTCTCCACCACCACTCACCCGTTTCCTCAGCGCCTCCCGCATGCCCCCTGGGAACAGCAGCGCCGCCTGGTCTGTTGCCATCAGGCGGTGCAATGAGCCACCTCCCAGGGTCAACTCACCAGCCCAGCACCAACATGCATTCATCTCCTCCCGAGTGCCACTCACCCGCTTCCTGAGTGCCTCCCGCATGCCTCTAGGGAACAGCAGCGCCGCCTGGTCGGTGGCGAGCAGGCGGTGCAGCACCTTGGGGTTCACCCTCCCAATCCCAAGTCACACCGCAATTTCAGCCCCAAAAACCATTCACCGGCTCCCCCACCGCAACTCACCCGTTTCCTCAGCGCCTCCCTCATCCCTCCTGGGAACAGCAGCGCCGCCTGGTCGGTGGCCATCAGGCGGTGCAGCACGTTGGGTGTCACCCTCCCAAGTCACACCCACCAGCCCAAGAACAAGTGCCACTTACCCGCTTCCTCAATGCCTCCCTCATCCCTCCGGGAAACAGCAGCGCCGCCTGGTCGGTGGCCATCAGGCGGTGCAGCACTTTAGGCGTCACCGGCACGGCGCCGAAGAGACGGAACTCCTCTGCCATGGGGTTGTGCTCTATGGAGCCGGGGAACTGCGAGGGGCAAGAGGCGGGGAGAAGAGGGGGGAGGGGGTGTGAGAAAGGGAGGGATCGAAGGGGAAAATGGGTGTGGGATGGCTGTGGGAAGGATGGGAGGAAGCACCAGCACGGCGCCAAACAGATGGAACTCCTCTGCCATGGGGTTGGGCTCTATGGAGCCGGGGAACTAGAGAGGCAAAAAGGGGAGAGGAGGGAGCGAGGGGAGAAGGAGGGGGCGAGGGCACGTGTATGGGTGTGGGAAGGGGACCGAGGGGAAGAAGCACCAGCCCGGCACTGCATAGACGGAACTCCTCCGCCATGGGGTTGTGCTCTATGGAGCTGGGGAACTGGGTATGGCAAGGGGGATGGGGAATAGTGAGGAGTTGGTGGGGGCAGGCCGAAAAAAGGGAGGGGAGAGGAGGGAGCGAAGGCGAAGGGTTTTGTGCAGAAGGGAGGATGTGGCTCAGCTACGAGAGGAGAGAGGACCGGCGCGTATGCCCGGTGGTTTTGGTAAACCAAGAAGAGCAGTAGCTGGTGCTGCAATAGACTCAACCCATGGGCACTCACAGGGCAGAGCGAGAGAAAGAGGCACAGAGCATCAGGGCACCCCACTCACCATGCCGAGGGCGACGGGGTGTGTGAGGCCCCTGAGGGGCACTCCATGGGCGAGCAGCTCAGCTATCAAAGGGGAGAGGTCCGGCGCGTATGTCTGGTGGTTTCCAGTGAAGAGCTACAGCTGCAATACCTCATCCCCAGGCCAATCATCAGGCACTCACCATGCCGAGAGCGACGGGGTGGGTAAGTCCTCTTAGTGGCACTCCATGTGCGAGCAGCTCTGCGATTAAGGGGGAGAGGTCCGGCGCGTACGTCTGGTGGTTTCCCACGAAGAGCAGCGGGCGCTCGTCTGTTGCTATGCCCTCTAAACCCAGCACGATGCGCGCGGACGACGAAGAGGAGGAGGAATGGGAGGAGTGGGAGGGGGAAGAGGAGTTCCTGAGGACCCTGCTGAGGTCGGTGGTGTCTCGCGCATCGTCCACCACTGTGGACAGGAACACGGGCGAGCACATGAGACGAATCGTGCCGTCCATGCCGCCCTTGCTGCGTGCAAACTCCTCCACAGTGGGCAGCACGAAGCCGTCCACTTGCGGGTCCTCCCGCCTGCTGCTGCTGCGCCTGTACACGCCCGCGCCCTTGATGATGCTCGCCAGATCTATGTCCGCCTCCTGTAAGGGGAGAGTGGGGGTGGGGAGGGAGGAGGAGAGGTTGGGGAACTTGAGAAGAGAGTAATAGGGCAGGAGAGTAGCACACGTCTGCTCCGTCTGCACACGCGCATGCCCTTGATGATACTTGCTAGATCAATGCCCCGCTCTACCCATCCCCTTGTGCACCCATAACGTCCCACCACCCTCACCAGCACCACCCCATGGCGCTCACCAGCAGCAGTGTGTGCCCCGAGTTGGGGCACTGCTTGACCACCGTGGTGCAAGCTGCCATCTCCTAGCGCACCCTTCATCATGCCCTGATGTACCCATCCCTCAGTGACGCCATCTCCCTCTCGGTGCCAGCCTTCATACCACAGCAACCATGCGCTCACCAGCAGCAGAGTGTGCCCCGAGTTGGGGCACTGCTTCACCACCGTTGTGCAAGCCGCCATCTCCTTGTGCAACCGCTTTGCCTCTTCCTCACTCGGTAGCATCTGATCCTCACCCCTGTGCCATTATCAGGGAGAAGAAGCAGAAAACGGAGGGGAAAAGAGGGAAAGAGAGGGAATGAGAGGGAAAGAGGGGAAAGAGAAGGAGAGGAGGAGGGCAGGACAGGGAGAGGGAGGTGTGTTTTGAATCCACTCACGCGGCAGCGGTGAGAGCGGTGTGGTTCACCCTCGTAAGCACCGACCCCACGGCAGGAAAGAGGAGCTGCCATGCAACGCAACGAGGTGTGTGCTTTGGTAGCTCTACAATCAAGCCACCACTCACCCCGCAACGATGAGTGTGGTGAGCTTGATACCTCTCAGCACCGGCTCCACAGTAGCAAAGTCCACTGAGGAACAGCAGGCAGGAGGAGCACCGGTTCCACGGCAGCACTGCCCTCCTCCACAGGAGGAGGGAGGAGGTGTGTGCGTTGGTTGCTCTGTTTTCCACAATATGAATCCACTCACCCGGCGACGATGAGCGTGGTGTGCTTGATGTCTTTCAGTACGGGCTCCACAGCAGCACTCCCTTCCTCCAGCAGATCCAGCTTCCACTCCAGCGTCTCCTGGGGAAGTATGTCCGCCACGAGCTGTGTGAGGGGTGGGGGTGGTGTGCGGTGGGATTAGGGAAGGGGGGAATACCCGCTAGTAGCATGAATCAGGCAAGGGAGGGAGTATAATGACACGCACTGCCCCCTCCTCCAGCAGGTCCAGTTTCCACTGGAGCGTGGCCTGGGGGAGAATGTCCGCCACGAGTTGCATGGAAGTGCGAGGGATGGGGAGGGGGAGAGGCGTGCACAGCATGCTAGATCATCACATCACACAGACTGCATCGGCAGTGGTTTGAAGAGCACCATGTTGCAGGTGCAGAACGGTGCAGCATGGTGCAGAACGTGAATTGAGTAAAGGAGTAGATATTCCACAGGCTGTGTCACCATCAGCAGGTCTAACGGCCAGCATGGTCAGCACAGCATGAAATAAAATCCGATCTCACGGGCAGAATGTTCCGCATGGAGCATTATAGAATCTCACGGGCAGGATGGGCAGCAGGTCGAGCAGGTTCTGCCGGAGTTGCACTAGGCGGTCGAGCGGAGAGGCATCTAGGGGCACTCGCCCTGATGCCATGCGTATGGGGTTGCCTGGGAGGAGGGAAGGGGGGAGAGGAGAGAAAGAATGGGCCGCATGTCTCGCAGGCAGGATGGGCAGCAGGTCGAGCAGGTTCTGCCTGAGCTGCAGCAGGCAGTCGAGAGGCGAGGCGTCCAGGGGCACTCGCCTTGACGCCATGCGCATGGGGGTGCCTGGGGGGAGGGAAGGGGGTGGTTGGGAGGGAGCTTGAGCGAATATTGTAGCGAGGCGAGGCGTGGAGAGGCACATGGCTTGATGCCATGTGCGTGGGGCATGGGGGATTGGGGCATGGGGTATGGAGCATGGCGCTTACCCATGGTGAGGCTGCGGAGGTAGGGCAAGACGTGGTAGGGGTGGCATGGAGCATGGCACATGAGCCATGCGGGGTTGGTTGGGGCACGGGGCACGTGGCATGCAGCACAGTGCACGGGGCACGTGGCATGCAGCACAGTGCACGGGGCACGTGGCATGCAGCACAGTGCACGGGGCACGTGGCATGCAGCACAGTGCACGGGGACTTACCCATGGTGAAGCTGAGAAGGTAGGGGAAGACGCGGTAGACGTCCGGTGGGATGGAGCGCAGCACTGGGATCAGTGGGTGCAGTGGTGAGCGCGGAAAGCTCGTTGCTGGAAGGGGAGAGGCGAGGGGAGAGGGGGAAACGGAGACGGAAAGGAAGGGAACGGGGAGGGGAGGGGGAATGGAAGATGAGAAAATAGGTTGATGAGTGGCAGGGCGAGATGGAGGGGGGCGAGGAAGACGAAGGGGAAGCGGAAAGCGAAAAACGAAAAGCAGGAAGATGAGCGGGGAAGCGAGGGAGGGCGGAGAGGCAGGGGGAGAAGTGCAGGTGGAGGGGGAACACGTAGCAGTATCAAGGAGGATGTGCACACACCAGGGTTGACGAGCACGAGGGTGATGGGCAGCTTGGGATTCCGGGCAGACACAGCGAGGGCGAGCAGGGCGCCAAATGACTCCCCCAGGATGAAGAGCGCGCGGGAGGGGTTCAGCTTGTGCTCCCTCACCACCTCCTCCTCCACCAGGTCGACGAGGCGAGTGAAGCTCGTGCGGTCAGAGAGTGGCACGTGCAGACACGTCACCTCGAACAGCCTGGGGGTGAGTGGGTGGGGGAGGGAAGGGGCAGAGCACATGGCCGATGGGAGATGGCAGGCGGAGGGGAGTGGCAGATTGATTGATGGGAAGGGTTCAGCTTGTGCTCCCTCACCACCTCCTCCTCCACCAGGTCGACGAGGCGAGTGAAGTCCGTGCGGTCAGATAGAGGCACGAACAGACAGGTCACCTCGAACAACCTGGGGGGTGTGGGTGGGGGAGGGAAGTGGAGGGGGTTGGGGCGGTGTCAAGATATGACCTTTGAGTGGAGAACAGTGCGTTATTATGGGCTAGATTAGTACGCATCACCCTGAACCTTGAACGCACCTTGAGTGCACCTTGCCTAGCTGTTGATCACCTTTGGCTGTCCAGACGAGGGCATACCTGGCGAGTGTCTTGTGGTGCAGCTGCAGGCCAAACCCCGTTCCCTCGATGCCTGCACGCAGCACAAGAGTAGTATCAACATCGGCATGAGCATCAGCATTACCAGCGAACAATCAGCATTAGCATTAGCATCAGCATCAGCATCAGCATGAGCATCAGCATGAGCATCAGCATGAGCATCAGCATCAGTATTAGCATCAGCATCAGCATTAGCATCAGCATCAGCATCAGCATTAGCAGCAGCATCAGCATTAGCATCACAATCAGTATTAGCATCAGCATCAGCATGAGCATGAGCATGAGCATTAGCATCAGCATCAGCATCAGCATCAGCATTAGCATGAGCATGAGCATGAGCATCAGCATCAGCATTAGCATCAGCATCAGCATCAGCATCAGCATCAGCATCAGCATGTCACCAACCACGAACTCTGAACCAAGAGGGACACCTCTGCAGGACCGCAGCACCCTCACCACCACATACATCTCTACACGGCCCACACCAGCTCACACCAGCTCTTGAAACTCCAGCCATCAGCGTCCAACCCCCCTCATCCTCCCCCGCATCACACTCATCCTCTCGTTCCGCCCACAATCCTCCCGTCTTCCATGCCCATCGCATATCCCGCTCAGCGCTCCCCTCTTCCCCGCGCCCCTCGCTCTCCGCGTTCCCCCACCTGGCAGAAAGAAGAGCCGCGGAAGCAGCCCCGCGTCGCTGGGCGGAACGGCATCCGCGGGGCACAGGAACCGCGGAGGCCCGCTCTCCGCCTTCTCCGCCGCGCGCTCTTCGCTCCCCGCGCCTGCGCTGCTCTCAACGGCGGCCCCCGCGGACCCGGGGAATAGCGACTCCAGGAACGGGGGGACGGGCAGGGGGAGCGGCGGCAGGGGGGCGGGCAGGGGGAGCTGGGGGAAGGGCAGCGGGAGCGGGGGAAAGGGCAGAGGGAAAGGCGCAGCAGCTGTAGTGCTGCTCGCGCGGGATTCGCCGCCTTGATCCCCCTGAATGACCTCTTGCACGGCGCGCAGGTAGTCGAACACGTCAGGGGGAATGTGCTCCTTCCGCACGTCCTTCACGCGCGCGTATCTCGCGCGCACCGCCTTGGTCCGCTCCCGTATCGCTGCGCGCATCGCCGCCCGCTCGCTCTCCGCTTCTCCCTCCCCGTTTCCCCCACCCGTGCCCCTGGCGCGGCCGTTGGTCGCGGATCCGCTTGTAAGGGGACGCGCGGAGCCATTCGGCGGGGATGAATCGCCGGAAGCACTAGTAGCAGCGGAAGCGCTTTCAAGCGTGGCGCTGCCGTCGGGACTATGCGCGGGGGAGGGAGTGGCGGAATTGGCAGTGCTGTTTAGCGCGCGGTCGTTCCTCGACGCGGGAATCTGCGCCGTTGCGGTGATGCGCACGCGGTGAGGAGCTCTGCGCGCGGAGTCGCGGGAAAGGTGGCGGATTTGCGGGTCCGCGGCGCAAAGTGCGCTAGCCTGGCGATGACACAGCATGGCGGAGGAGATTTAGGGAACTAAGCCGAATGAAGGAGGGAATGTGGTAGGCTGGGACGGAGCGACAGCAGCGTGTGCGACAGCAGCGTGTGCGACAGAAACGTGTGCGACAGCGACGCGTGCGAGCGAAACGGACGCTATTACGGAGAACGCAGGAACGCGGAAGTCAAGGAACGGAAAGCTAAGGCGCACGCTGGAGAGTAGTAGGGCAACCCAGCAGAAAAAGGACAGCCTTTTTTTATCTTGGCTTGAGGAGCAAATCAAAAAGGAGCAGCAGCAAAGAGCATGGAAAAGAGATTCCATCCACACCCCCTTCGCGTGCATCCGTCTGTGCTCGAGTAGGGTGGAGAGGAGAAATTAGAGGCTCTGGTTATTCCGGCTCGCTCCGAGCCTGCCGACCTTGGGTTTGCAAGGGCGGGAAAGGGAATGTACAGTTGCTGGTCGACGCTTTCCAGGAGTGCCGGGAAGCTCCTCAGAATGCCACCGTGGCCACGAAACATTTGTTGCTGGGAGTCAACGCGTGGCTAGGCGAACGAGCGGCCACGACTTGATGTTTGCGAAGCTCGCGACAAGCCTCAGGTTCGCCATTCAAGTTTGTCATTATGAAAAATGAAGAATGTGTTGCACACTCTGCATTACACGTACGGTATGGCGCTTTTTCATTCACGACAATCCGACAGCTCCTTCCTAGTATTGAGTGAGCTTTTATGCAAAGGAACACCAAATCCTGGGAATACAACACAGTAGAAAGATTCAATGTGCGCCATTCGAATTCAATATTCCCACTACTAATGGCTCCGTTACCAGCTACTGTAATCCCCGACCCTCGCTCAAGCGCTTCGAACCTCCTCCGTTCGCGCCTCAGCCTACTTTCCGCGCACAACCGCCCCTTCCGCCTCCCCTCCGCGCAAAATTGCCCCTCCCGCCGTAGCTGCGGGCACAAATCGCCCCCCCTCAGCGCTTCCGCATCCGTCTTCCTGCGGCTGCGCGCATGCGCTCTCTACTCCGCCTCGAATACCCGGCGAGACGGGAATTCCGGAAACGGATCGCGCGCAGTTCCATGTGGGTGGCAAAGAGGCTTTCTTACAGCGAGTGATGCTAAATTGGGGACACGAAGCAGCCAGGCAGGCGGAAGCATGATGACCCGTGCGACGACTCGGCGCGCAAGCGGTGACGGAGCCACGGACCGGCGAATCGGCGACGTCGACACGATGGACGGTGGGGATGATTCGAACAGCCGCTACACGGTGGACGAGGCGCTCTCCGCCGTCGGATTCGGCGCGTTTCATTGGCTGCTGCTGGGGTATGCCGGCCTGGCGTGGGCGGCAGAGGCAATGGAGCTGCTGCTGCTCTCCTTCATCGCCGCCCCCGCTGCCGCCCACTGGGGCGTGGGCGGCGACGGCGAGGCGGCGCTGTCGTCTGTAGTGTTCGCAGGCATGTTGGTGGGCGCGTTCGCATGGGGGCTGCTGGCGGACAGCCGCGGGCGCAGGTGAGCGGATGGGGGGGAAGGGAGAAGAGAGGAGGGGGGGTAAGGGGAAAGGGAAGGGGCAAGTGAGAGGATGAAAGCATGTTCGCGTGGGGACTGCTGGCGGACAGCCGCGGGCGCAGGTGAGAGGTTGGGGGGGTGGGGGAGGGGAGAAAGGCAGGAAACGGGTGATGTACTCTGGTCACTGGTCAGGTCAGGTTGCTCTCAACACTCGTGGGCATGCTGGTGGGCGCGTTCACGTGGGGGCTGCGATGAGTGAACGGCTGAGTTGAGGAGTTCTGGTGGGATACTCATCTATCCCTGCCCCACCCACACCTCATCCATTCCTCTCTTTCTCTCCCTCGCCTCTTCCTCCCCTCTCTTTCCCCCAACCCACCCCAACCACATAATTGCAGGTTTGCCTTCACAGCAACGGCCCTGCTCACCTTCCTAGCAGCGCTCCTCTCAGCGCTCGCCCCCTCCTTCCCTCTCCTCCTCGCCGCCCGAGCACTTGTCGGGGTGGGCCTGGGCGGCGCGCCCGTCATCTTCTCGCTCTTCCTCGAGTTCACGCCGCCCGCTTCCCGCGGCTTCTGGTCCCTCGCCCTCTCTCTCTTCTGGACCGTCGGATCGGTCGCCGAAGCTGCTCTAGCTTGGGCCGTGCTGCCAGTGCTGGGATGGAGATGGCTCATCGTTCTCTCCTCGCTGCCTCTCCTGCTGCTGCTGCTGCTCTTCCCACTGCTTCCTGAATCTCCGAGGTACCTTCTGGTGAAATCTCGGCCGTTGGATGCGATGGCAGTGCTGCAACACGTGGCAAGGCTCAATAGGAGGGCACTGCCAGCAGGGCAGGTCAGCCTGGTTGCAGGGGGCGGGGGGTCTCAGGGTGGATCTCAGGTGGAAAAAACAGAAGCGGGAGAGTCAGAAGAAGGGGCACTGCTGCTGCAGAGTGAGAGCGAGAGGAACAGCTGGAACCGCTCCCTCCCCTCCTTCCCTCCGCCAGCCCTGCGCCAGCTGCTCTCCCCGCCTCTTCTCACGACCACGCTGCTGCTGTGGGGGGTGTTCTTCGCCAATGCCTTCTCCTACTATGGCCTCGTTCTGCTCACCACGCAGCTCACTGCTGCCACTCCTGCCTGCCCCCCTGCTGCTGCTGCTGCAGTCACTGCTGCCACCGCTGCTGCCGCTGCCAGTGGTGGTGGTGCTGCTGCTGCTGGTGATACCATAGCGACTGCTGCAACTGCTGTCGGTGCTGCTGCTACTGCGACTGCTGCTGCTGCTGCTGCTGCTGCAGAGGCAGAGGCAGCAGCAAGGGATGCAGTGGAGCGGCTAGGCCAGCCGTTCTTTTTCGGTGTGCTTATAACGAGTGCAGCAGAGCTGCCTGGGCTGCTGCTCTCTGCTCTTATAGTGGATCGTGTGGGTCGACGCACCACCATCGCTGCCATGCTTGCTGCTGCCGCACTCGCCGTCCTCCCCCTCCTCCTCCACTCCCTTCTCCCGGGCTTGTCAGTTCTTGTGTTCGCCGCCCGCCCTGCTGCCACTGTAGCAGCGCTGTTTGTTGCCCGGGCGGCGATCATGGGGTCGTTTCAGACACTGTTCATGTTCGCACCAGAGGTGAGCCACTCTGCCAGCTCGTGAGCCGCCTCAAGCAGTTTCTGTGGCGCCTGTTGTTGAATGCTGGGAGATCTGCCTCAGAGATATGTTCATGTTCGTTCATGCTGTCACACCCGAGGCGGGGGAGTGTCTGTGCTGGGTGCTGTTCGTTCACATGCGGCTTCCTCGCGGCTGTTATCTGCCTTAATTTGCTGGTTGTAGTTGTAAGCAGACGCTGCAGCAGTTGCATAAGCTACAGTAGTGGCACGGGCTAGCCTTTTCGTAATCCCCCCTTCACCCATCCTCTCGTTTTCCCTTCCATCCCCCCTCTCCTCTCCCCACTCTTCTGTACCCACTCTCGTCTCCCCCCATCCCCTCTCGCAGCTCTATGCCACGTCTGTCCGATCCTCTGGCCTCGGCTTTGCCAGCTCGTTCTCCCGCTTGGGTGGCATCGTTTGTCCTTACGTGGCTGTCACTCTGGTTCAGGGGTGCCAATTGTCTACAGCGCTGTCCCTCTTTGTAGCAGTCCCGCTAACAGCAGCAATAGCCACCACGTTTTTCCCTGTAGAAACAGCAAGAAGAGCACTTATAGAGGTGCATGTTGAGGAAGGGGAATATGGGGGGCAGAATGACGGAGAAATTAGTCGAAAGCAAGGTGTTGTGAAAGATGAATCATGCGGCTTGTGATGCTGTTTGTACAGTGGCATGGCCAATCAATCCGTACCCTTATGCTCGACTACCATGTTTATCAATTGGCCGGTTATCGCATGGATACCATACAACCTAGAAGCAAGGTATCGAGTCAAGCATAACCCAACTCTCTAGCCACAACTGATTTGGCCCGGCTTCCACCCAGATGTGAAGTTTTGTAAGGAATTTTCGCGGCATTCCTTACGGAGCCCGACTACATCGCGTACAGCAACAGCCGTTGTTCACCCGTTACTGCTAACGGGGCTTCGCCGACTTCGCGCGCACTGTTTTCACCAAACCTCGCACTGCTGGCCTGGCCGTGTCGGCCTACGCTTCGGGACTAGCCCGAGCCTCGCTCCAGCGTAGCACTAGCTAGCTCGCACGCAGCGCGTTACCGTTTGCATGTTTCACGTATAAATGTTCGCTCATGCCTTCGCTCACATTTTGTACTCGTTTGACACCTTAGTGCAATTCTCGCTACTTCGATTCATTGCACCCGTAACACTTGGTATCAGAGCCTCTTTCCTTTCGGACCGCGCATCTCCGCACCCCAGGAAATCAACTTTTGATTTTTCACTCGAAGGGACTCACGTACCTTAGCACCTAGGAGCCGCTGTCCTCGCGTTCTCTCGTAAACGCGTGCAGCCACGACTGCGCCTAGACTAAGACGAGCCGGTGCCCTTCGAAATGGCTGAACATATCGACGTCACGACTCTCACGCAGGAGCACTTGAATGATCTGCTGCGACAAATCCGCGAAAGCGCCGAGGAAATCGCGACGCTGACGGCAGAACGCTCGTCCCTGCAAAACGACCTCACAAGGGCACAATCCCAAGCACCTGGAACTCCGATTCAGCCCGCACCACAGACATCACTGAGAAAAGTAGAACGAGAATGAATGAACTATGAATGAAGTGAGTACATATGGGAAACCCTAATTGGGTTGTACCCCCTATGGGATACCCCACTATAGCCTACACAACAGCATAAGCTATATATATGTTCTGACACACCCCCATAGGCAAAGTGGGGGAGAACAAGGGGTCACAAGACCAGTCAAGCAAAGCAGAGCAAGCTCAGGGTGGATCACAAAGTCACCACACAGTCCGAGCACAACGACAGGGCAACAGGGCCAGTCCACATGCAGGAGTACACATATATATATAGAGCTAGACAAGCAAGAGCAGGTATATATATGTGACAGTACAAGCAAGGTCAAGAAGAGAGCAAGTGAGGCAAGACAGGTACAAGACCCAGCTGGGTGCAGAAGCGCTGATGGTCACAAGGCGCAAGTGCCTTGGTGAACACATCAGCAGTGTTGGCCTCAGAGGCCACGTACGCAAGTCGCAACTGACCACGCTGCTGCAGCTCACGAGCAAGAAAGTAACGGAGAGCAATGTGCTTCGTTCTGTGCTCCAAGCGCTGCTCTCGACACAAGGCCAGCATGGCCTTGTTGTCTACGTACAACACTGGAGGAGAACGAGGCGGCTCTCCAAGGTCAGTCAGCAGGTAGGTGAGCCAGCGAAGCTCCTGTGCAGCCATGGCCCCGGCGTAGATCTCAGCCTCACAACTGGAGCTGAGAACAGAGGACGAGCGAGTAGCCCGCCACGAGACAGAGCCGGAACCAAGACTGAAGGTGTAACCCTGCGACGACCGCTGTGTAGCCTGGTCGTCTGCCCAAGAAGCGTCCGCGTGCCCAGTGAGGACCACTGGACTCCGCCCTCCAAGCACTAGCCCCATGCCCGACGTACTGCACAAGTAGCGCAACACCCTCTTCGCTGCAGCCATGTGCTCTGGTCGGTGTCTCCCAGGAGCAACATAGCGTGAAAGAATGCTAAGAGGGTACGCAAGGTCAGGTCGTGTGCAGGTCATCAGGTACATGAGGCAGCCAACAAGCTCTGGGTACGGGCCACTCGACTCTACGGACTCATCCGAAGGCAGAGCTGAGAGCGAGTGGCGAGTAGACAGAGGAGTGGCCTGAGGCGAGGAGTACGTGAAGCCGAAGCGCTGAAGGACCTGCTGCACCATGTGTGACTGAGTCAAGGTAATGGTGCGGCGTGCTCTGTCCCGAGTGATCTGCAAGCCAAGGTAGCTGCGCAGTTCACCCAGGTCTGTGCACGTGTGTCTCTTCTGCAGCTCGGACTTCACGTAGGCTAGTCCAGCAGTGTCAGCTGTGGCAAAGACCAAGTCGTCGACGTACACGAGGACGTAGAACGGCGGCAAAGAAGTGTCGGTGCGCAGAAACAACGACGGGTCAGCAGTAGAGGGAGCAAACCCAAGAGCCGCAAGCGTAGTCCTCAGTGTGTCGTGCCACTCACGCGGTGCCTGGCGGAGACCGTAGACTGGCCGTCGGAGGCTCCACTGGGTGCCAGGAGGAAAAGTCCCAGTGAAGCCAGGTGGACGGCGCAGCCAGATCTCCTCGTGCAGGCTACCCTGCAAGAAAGCAGTACTGAAGTCAAGAGAGTGGAGCTCGTAGTCGCGCTGAGCGGCTATGTGCAGCAGCACCCGAAGAGTGGTCATCTTCGGGGTGGGAGAGAAGGTCTGAAAGTAGTCAACTCCCTGCCGCTGACTGAAGCCACGAGCGACGTACCGCGCCTTGAAGACAGGTGGAGAGCCCGGCGGCCGCTTCACCTTGAAGATCCACATGCCACTGACGATGTTCGCCCCAGGAGGGGGAACCGCGTCAACGTAGGTGCCTGTGGACTTCCAGGACGCCATCTCTGCATCCATAGCTGCCTGCCACTGAGAGGAGTAGGGACCCTCTACGGCCTCCGCGTAAGAGCGCGGAGTCGGGATGTCTAGTGCATCCGGGTCTCCCTCAGGGGCAAGCAGTACGGACGCGAGATGAGGTGAAGCAGCAGCCAGACACCTGAACTCCTCCTGCCTGTCCTCAAGGACGTCCGTGCCAAGAGCACACTCACCCCCGACGGACGGAGGACAGACAGAAGCAGACTCAGCAACAAGACCGGCAGCGTAGTCTAGACGACAGCGAGCAGCAAAGTCGACGAGCTCAGCAACAAGCGCAGACGCAGCAGTGGACACAAAAGAGGGGTCAGTGACGACAGTAGCAAGGAGACGTGTGACAGCAGGACTGGCAGCACGAAGAGAGTCCGACTCCGGGTCAGGAAGAGCAGGAAGAGAGGACTCAGGAGGAGAAGGCAAAGGGGCACGCAGAGGAGCAGTGGACGGACGCAGAGACATCCGGTGCGTGCCAGGGACAGGAGGAGGACGCTGACGCGAACCACGACCACTAGTGCGAGCAGCACGGACAGGCGACGCAGGGCGAGACGCAGGCTCACGACGCTCAGCAAGACCTCCAGTAGGACCAGTGTAGGGAGAAGGAGCGGGCAGTGGGGAGGCCGGCTGTAACTGTAACTGTGACAGGACAGGCTGTGGACACTCTAAGGGAGGAGGAGGACCAGTAGAAGGCGGGAGACCAAGAACCTGCTGAAGGAGCGGAACGAAGTACGGTCTAGGCCGCGCGGCGACTCCAGACACAGCAGGGACAGCACCAGTACCCCCAGCGGCAGCACCAGCGCCAGTAGCACCTCCAGCTCCAGGACCTCCAGCAGCACCAGTAGCACCCCCAGCAGGACCGCCTCCAGGACCGACAGCAGTAGCCTCAGCGCCAACGCCCTCAGCAGCTCCAGCTCCAGCACCTCCGGGACCCGCGGCACCAGCACCCTCAGCAGCCGAAGAACCTCCAGCTCCAGCAGCACGCCTCCAGCGCCGGGCAAACCACTCGCGCAGCTCCTGTGGAGAGAGGGGCTCCCGCCGAGGCGAAGCACCCGGAGAACCGCCAGGTCCCGCACCGCCAGACGCCACAAGGGGAGGTCCAGTGGCCGCAGGCTCCGCAGCTCCAGGCTCAGCACCTCCAGACGCAGCACCCCCTGGCTCAGCACCCCCAGTAGCAGCACCCCACGGCTCAGCACCCCCAGACTCCGCACCCCCAGGCTCAGCACCCCCAGTCGCAGCACCCCCAGGCTCAGCACTCCCAGACTCCGCACCCCCAGGCTCAGCACCCCCAGTCGCAGTACCCCCAGGCTCAGCACCCCCAGACTCAGCACCCCCAGGCTCAGCACCCGCAGCAGGACCAGAGTCACCAGCAACCTCGACCGGCTCGACTGCGTCTACCTGGGACACACCTGAAGGGGCAGGACCCTGAGGGGGAAGGGGGTCTACCGGGGGGGGACCTGGCACAAGGAAGTGCGGTGGCGGGGGGAGGGAAGGAGTGCGGTAGGGGAAGAGGCGGTAGAAGGGGACTGACTCGTCGAACGTGACGTCCTGGGAGGACAGAACACGACGAGAGGAGGGGTGGTAGAACTGCCACCCTGGAGCGTCAGGGGGGAAGCCGAGGAAGACACAGGGAGCAGCACGAGGGGACAGCTTGTCCGCAGACAAGTCGCGGACAAACGCCCGAGATCCCCAGACACGGAACGCAGACGCATCGCCGACCTTCCCCGTCCACAGCAGAGCTGGGGAGGTCTCCGGCCGGGAGACCCTGGGGTGAAGGTTGATCTGATGCGCCGCGTACCGAACCGCAAACGGCCACAGAAAATGGGGGGCAGCCGCATGCATCATGGACGTACGAGCGACGTCCATGACCATGCCAATGCGGCGCTCAGCAATCCCATTTTGCTGTGGAGAGTCCGGAAGCGTAAAGGTCTGGCGGATGCCTCGTGCACGACAGTAGGCTCGCAGAAGGCCAGAGGAGAACTCTCCACCTCGGTCAGAGTGCAGACGCAGAACAGGAAAGTCCGAGCCGAAGCTCCTCCTGAGCTGGAGACGAGCTGCGCGGATCCAGTCGATCAACACCTCAGTGACATCACCCTTGCTGCGCAAGGGGAAGACTGTGGTGTAACGCGAGTAGTCGTCAACCACCAGCAGGAAGTAGCGCTCGTGACCCTGCCCACGGACGCGGGCGGGGCCCCACACGTCCATGTGAAGCGTCTGCAGAGGAGCCTCTGTCGGGGGAAACTGAGAGGAGTGAGGGGCAGC